CCGGCGACACTCTCGCGAACGAGAAGACGCTCGAAGGCCACCGCGCCGGCGTGTCGGCTCTCGCCTTCTCGCCAGATGGCCGCTACCTGGCCTCGGGCGACAAGAACAGGGAGATTCTCATCTGGCAGGAGGGCAAGATTGCCATCAAGGACTGGCAGTACCACTCCGCCAGGATCAACAAGCTCGTCTGGAGCCCTGACTCCAAGTTCCTCGCCTCAGCTTCGCTCGACACCAACATCATCATCTGGAGTGTTGAGGTACGTTAACCCTTACTTCTCCTCTAGTTTACGAGAGGTCAACAGGCAGTTCTGATGGCATTTGCTCAATGGCGCTAATGGTTATCCCCCTCTCTGCCCGCGCAGACGCCCAACAAGCGGCTCACCATCACCGCTGCCCACCACGGTGGCGTGAATGACCTCACTTGGCTCGACCAGTCGACCCTTGCTTCTGTTGGTCAGGACTGCACCACCCGCACCTGGAATGTACTCTGGGAGTAAGTGCCAGAGCCATGCACATGAGTAAACAGGGGAAAAGGAAATCGGCAAAGCCATTCCCATTAAACATCAGATAACCAATAAAGCGGTACCGCTAGAGTTTGAATCGGCCCACCACCCAAGCCTCGTGCCACAATCCCCTTTCGCCACCCAACGCCCACTTCGGACAGTTGGCATGCCGCAAACCTTTTACTCCGCCCCGACGACGAGGATGCCAGCGCGAGCAGCAGCAGAAACAACGGCGACCACGTCTATGAGAGCGTGGGGCGGGGCCGACGGCAAAGGCGACAACGAGAATATGAGGCGACACCGGCGCGGCGCGGGCAAGGCCGGGGTCGGCGACGGCTCGGCGCGCTACGTGGACTGCGCCGGAGTGGAGGACGGCCTGGCTACGCTTGACGAGTGCGGCAACTGCACGGGACCGGCCCAAACCTGGGAGGAGAGGCGGTTTCCTCCAGGTTGAAAAAAACAAAAAACAAAAAACAAAAAACAAAAAACAAAAAACAAAAAACAAAAAACAAAAAACAAAAAACAAAAAACAAAAAACAAAAAACAAAACACAAACAAAACTCAGTTCATTAGCTCTCCGGCCACCAGTAAAAGATGAGCGACTTCACGTAAGGCGAGGCGAGCCGTGACGCGGTGGAGGGGAGTTCGTCGGACGGACAGAGTTTGGCGTCGGCGGCCGGTTTGTAGACGGCGCCGGCGGAGCTGGTAGTCGGGTTCAGCTGGAGGACGAGGATCGAGTCGTCTACTTGGAGCGACGGGGTGACGAGGTCAGTGGCGCTCGAGTTGGCGGCGGTCAGGCGGGTGGCCGTGGCGGTCATGCAGCCCGACGACGGGTTGAACCTGTAGACTGTGGCCGAGGCGCTGAACGCGTTGCGCCCGCCCGGCAGACGGACAGCGACGTCGGCTGACGTGACGTTGGCGTACACGCCCGAGCTGTTGGCCGGGAGCAGCCAAGTGGCCTCC